AAATGAAACTGAAAAACTGAAATGAAACCTGGGTCCCATTCAGTCTCCTTAGTCCTTGGCAAGGACCGTATTTATTTATTTATAAATCACGCCTTGCACTGCCAGCGCCAGTAATGAGCTGATACACAATCAATCGATGAATAATTCTGCATGTCGCCCAGCTGCCTGACACCCTGCGGTACAACGCACCGACTCATTCACGGAGTTCGGAGTTCTTGCCTTTGAAACGTGGAGGCACAAACTGTTTCGATGGAGTCGCCCTCGACAAGAAGGTCGTGGCGAGCTGGCTCCGTTCGTTTGACGAGGCTGGCTCTGCCGATGAGACTCAACGGTTCAAAACTGCTCCAGGAGGTTGCGCGCTAAACAAAGATGAAGACCAATGCGACTCGACATCAGTGTTGGTGTGGTGAGCCCACGAGGCTGATGGACCGCCGGACGATCTCGCCTCGACTCGGAGATTTACAGACGCCGATGCGCGCTTGTGATGACCGCGCTTTTGAAAAACAACAATAACAACAATTGGTGGATCATGAATAGAAGAGATTTAATACAACTCCCGAAACTATTGGGCTGCGGTGCGGCCATGGGATAGCAGTAAAGCAACTGGGTTGTTCATTGGTGATCCCGCCTGTAGGTCGAACCCTTTTAGTGACCGGCATCCCGTTTGTTCGCACGCGAGGGGGTGGGGGATTTTTCCGGGTTCACCAATCGCCTCCCTCGATAAACAACAACAACAACAACACCCATTGTTTACACAAATGAACCATAATTATCCAAAACATCCCGACGGAGCTGCGGAGCCTCTCTCGAGAGAAGAGTCTTGATGAGACTCCTGGCTAAATGAATGAATGACATCGTCACACTGGCGGGGCCGTAGTAGCAGCAGCAGCACTCGCAAATGGTCAATCCTGTTAATTGAATTGACTTCACGGATTTTCCCGCAGGTTGATGCGGTCATCTCCCTCGCCCCCTCCCTCGCCCCCCCTCCCATGCCACCCCCATGCATGTGCGAACGACACCCTTAATTGCATTGCGGCTAATTGTCCGTGCGCCACGCTTAATTGTGATTGCAGTGCGGCGGTAAACGCCATTGTGGATCAAAACAAATCACAGCCCTTCCACTCACCCCACCACTCACCCCACCACTCACCCTCCCACTCACCCTCCCACTCACCCTCCACTCGCCCCTCCACTCACCCTTCCACTCACCCTCCACTCGCCCCTCCACTCACCCTTCCACTCGTCCCTCCACTCGCCCTCCACTCGCCCTCCACTCACCCTCCCACTCACCCTCCACTCGCCCTTCCACTCGCCCTCCCACTCGCCCCTCCACTCACCCTTCCACTCACCCTCCACTCGCCCTTCCACTCACCCTCCACTCGCCCTTCCCCTCACCCTCCACTCGCCCTTCCACTCGCCCTCCACTCACCCTCCACTCGCCCTTCCACTCACCCTCCACTCGCCCTTCCACTCGCCCTCCCACTCGCCCTACCACTCACCCTTCCATTCACTCTCCCACTCACCTCCACTCACCCTTCCACTCGTCCCTCCACTCGCCCTCCACTCACCTTCCACTCACCCTCCACTCGCCCTTCCACTCGCCCTCCCACTCGCCCTACCACTCACCCTCCACTCACCCTCCACTCACCCTCCCACTCACCCTCCCACTCACCCTCCACTCACCCTTCCACTCACCCTCCCACGCACCCTCCACTCGCCCTTCCACTCACCCTTCCACTCAACCTCCACTCGCCCTCCCACTCACCCTCCACTCACCCTTCCACTCGCCCTTCCACTCACCCTTCCACTCACCCTTCCACTCACCCTCCACTCGCCCTCCCACTCACCCTCCACTCACCCTTCCACTTATCGCAACTGCTATCGCAGATGCTACGCACTCAATATCAACTTCGGTCACGTGGCGTAAGGACGCGCTGGTTACAGGGGACTAATTGCTCTGGAGGAATGTCTGAATTTTTAAAAGTCGTTTTACATTCGTGGGGGCGGGGGTTGGGAGCAGGTCTTCATCCAGCAGTGGATCGAACAAGGTCGATGGTGTTCTATGTAATTTCTGCTGCTTTTTTCTAGTTGTTACGTGGAGGAGATGGAGCGATGAAATCAGCTCGTGTGACGGTCCTGGGTGGATTTAGAATCACATCTTGCGAGGTGGCGGCGCAGGCGGCTTGTGGATGCCTTCATCCAGCAGTGGATTGACCATGGCTGCTGCTGCTGCTGATGATGATGATTGCTATTGCAATGCAAGTTATTTGGGGAGCTGCGTTGACTTCCACTACGAGGCGTAACGCCACTGTCGGTCGCATCCTCTGCTGACGGCACGATGTGTGAACGACAGTATATCGATATGGGGCCTCTGCCGAGGAGCGGTGGCACAGTGGTGAGCCCACCGCTATACGAGTCCGGCTGAGTTCGATTCCCAGCCACGGCTACATTCAGTGATAACTGAACCATATCTGCCCCCACCCCTCCCCCCCCCCACACTACCATTCAGCAATCCGCACTGACCAGCGTGGTGAAGTATGGTCAAACAACCGCCATAAACGACGCTACGTAGAGGGAGCCGCTCGCCCAGCATGCAGTGGATTGACACATGAGCTGTGATTATGTACATACGGGGTGCATCTGATGTATCATCGTGCATCACGGTGCTAAGTCGACTGTCAGCGGCCTTATGGTTCACGTGAACCCATAACATTCAATACATCAAGAATACAAAAACTCATTAAAAAAAACAGATCATTAAATAATTATCGATTTGCATCGATTATTCGATGAGTTATAAGACACGCGGTGTGACTGCGTGACGCCAAGTGTGTCAAGGGAGGTGCGATCTGTCATGCCGCTATATAAGGGAAGGGGGACTGAATGACCCCAGCAAGGAATTTGTAAAGTCAACATCACGCGTCGGCAAACGCATCCAATAAATATGTACACACACACACAGAGAGAGAGGATCCCACACACGGAGACACCCAAACAGACCCGCCACACTGACACACAATGGCATATGTGCGAAGACGCAAAGACACACTCATATAACATGCAGACACACATTTACACTCACACACTGACACATACAGATCCATGCAAAGACGAAGACTGACACGAACTCAAGATACATATAAACTCTCACACACACACTACACACACCTAAACCCACACCCACCCACACCTACATAGAGGCATACATCGACAAATATTCCCCGTGTAGCTTTCATAGACTGTTGGGGCAAGTGCTGTTAGCGAGTAGCGCCTATGAGGCACAGCACACGATGAGGTGGGTGGCCAGCACCAAAGAAAAAGATCGTCCGTATAGCCTTAACATACTTTTGGGGCAAGTGTCACAAAGACAAAGATCCCCTGTATAGCCTTAACATACTTTTGGGGCAAGTGCTGTTTGCTGGAGTCATTCATTCAAGAGATTGAGTGGCCAGCACTATGCCCGGCCGCCTTTGTCTCCCGAGTGGCGATGTTTACACATCGCACCAGGTACTTATTTTTTAGGCTGAGTCGACCTAGGGGAGTCCTAAGACCACAAAGACAAAGATCTCCCGTGTAGCCTTAACAGACTGTTGGGGCAAGTGCTGTTTGCGAACACCTATAGAGGCCAACACGGCACACGAGGGGGTGAGTGGACAACACCACGCCCGACCGCCTTTGTCTCCCTAGTGGCGATGTTTACGCGCCGCACCAGGTACTAATTTGAAGCTGAGTCGACCTAGGGGAGGCCCAGGACCAGTTAAGATATAACTGTCACTGGTGTTGGCCGTGAGCAGGAATCGAATTCGCGTCGCCCGATCCGTGGCGCTGCGCGATAACCGCTACGCTACCACTCCCCCCACACACAGACACACACCATAGACACCCACACACACACCATATATATACTCACACACACACCATATACACACACACACCATAGACACACACACCATAGACACACACACACCATATATACACACACCATAGACACACACACCATAGACACCCACACACACACACCATAGACCAGGGGTCGGCAACCTACGGCTCCGGAGCCGCATGCGGCTCTTTACGGGCTGCTTCTTGACGATATGTACGTATGTACAGTATGTACTCAGATGCATTGCGGCTCGTGAAATACTGAATTTTGTACCGAATTGGAAAGAAATGACTCTTCTTGTTATTTTGGTTGCCGACCGCTGCCATAGACACACACCATAGACACACACACACACCATACACACACACACCATTGACACCCACACACACCATACACACACACACCATAGACACACACAGACACACACCATAGACACACACACACACACCATAGACACACACACACAGACACACACCATAGACACCCACACACACCATAGACACCCACACACACCATAGACACCCACACACACCATAGACACACACACACAATAGACACACACACACACCATAGACACCCACACACACCATAGACACACACACACACCATAGACACACACACACAATAGACACACACACACCATAGACACACACACACCATAGACACACACACACCATATATACACACAGACACCATAGACACACACACACACCATACACACACTCCATAGACCCACACACACACCACACATCATAGACACACACACACACATCATAGACACACACACACCATAGACACACACACACACCATAGACACACACACATAGCATAGACACCCACACACACACCATAGACACACACACCATAGACACCCACACACACACACCATAGACACACACCATAGACACCCACTCCCACACACAATCACACACGGGGTTCTCAGCCCCCCCCCCGTCCCCTCCTGCTCCCACTCCACTCGACGTCGCACTGAGCCCTCTCGTCCCGCGCGGCCGCCGGGCTCCGGGTATCGATCCATCCACACGAATCGTTGCCTTCTTCTCTCCCAAGCGGCGTTTGGCAGAGAGGGGGCGTCAGAGAGAAGAGAGGAAAGAGAGAGGGAACGGAGCGGGATTGGGGGGAGCGCCTGTACGTGCGCGCGTGTGCGCGCAAGAGCGAGCGAGCCGGGAGGATGAGAGAGGAGAGATGGAGAGAGAGAGAGGGAGAGACTGTGTAGAGGAGAGATGAACTGAGGCGCTCGCTCGGGTCTACTCCGCTCCTCCTCGTCACCCTCATTGCCCACCCCATCTCGTTGCTGCACCGAGGCGGTGTGGGGAGAGACGCGAGAAACATCGCCCGCTCTGCACTGGACGGTCGTGATAGGAGCGTGTGGTGTTGGTAGGGGCTGCGGGTGCCTTGTGAACCAACGCACGGCTCTCAGCTCATCCCCTCCCCATGCCTGGTCAGCAGCATCATCAGCAGCATCATCAGCAGCGTCGTGGTGGTGGTGGCGACGGGCAGAGCGCGCGAGGCAAGGGAGGCGCTCGGGGGTCTCGCGGCATCGCGAGCGTCGTGGCCAAGCCGGACTCGGGAGCAGCGGCGGCACGGGGAGAGGAGGCGGGGGAGAGGGGGGAGAGTGAGCGAGAGAGTGGCGAGAGAGGGAGGGAGTGGAGAGAGGGAGCGGGTGGTGCCAGACGAGATGTAATCGTTGGAGGCGGAGGAGGAGAGGGACGAGAGAGCGTGGTGGTGGTGGTGGTGGTGCCGATTCGTGTCGCGCACAGGTACAGTGCGAGAGCGTGCGGGATAGAGAGATTTAGTCTGCATGGGCCATGCGTGTGTCGGTGCGTGTGCGTGTGTCGGTGTGTGTGTTCTGTGCGGGAGCATGCTGCCTGCCCCTGTATGTGTCTGTATCCTGTGTGTACGTGTGAGAGAATGTGTGTGTGTGTGTCAGTGCGTGTCCATGTGTAAATGTACGTCGTGTCAGTGTTTGTGCGAATGTGATTTGTATGTGTGTCTGCGTGTATGTCTGCTTGTATGTGTGTATGTAGGTGGTGTGTGTGTATATTGTATGCTACGTGTGTGAATGTGTGCATGTGTGCACTAGACTGAATAGAGGGAGCGGTCGCGTAGTGGTTAGCGCTACGCTGCCCTACGAACCCGCCGACCTGAGTTCGATTTCCGCTCACGGCCAACACCAGTGACGAGTATCTGAACAGGTACTGGGCTTCCCCTAGCTCTACTCAGCCTAAAATTAGTACCTGGTGCGGTGTGTAAACATCGCCACTGGGGAGACAAAGGCGGCCCGGCGTGGTGCTGGCCACCCACCCCCTCGTGTGCCGTGCCGGCCTTCATAGGTGCTTCTCGCTAACAGCACTTGCCCCTGTTCAGGCTACACGGAGGATCTTTGTCTTGTGCATCCCATTCAGGTAGATGAAGGTCCCATCAGTGCTGCACGGATCCATTAACCGTCACAACCACATCCGCCCATCCATCGATCCGTCCGTCTCTCTTAATATCTCCCCGATTGCCTCTCCCCTCGTGTCCATCCCGCGTGTCTTTCCGCGTGTCCGTTCGTTCAGCGCTCTCTGTCCTTCCATTGCCTGTCCGTCCATCATCTACAAGTCCGTCCATCATCCGTCCGTCTGTCTGTCCGCCTGTGTTCTCGCCCCACGTGTGCGCGCGTCACCACCAGGCGGGCCATGTGAGAAGTCGCTCCCCTCCACTCCGAGGGCCCCTGGCGCTGCTCGCGGCCCCCGCGTCTGCATGGAGGGGACAGCCGGGGTCCTGGGGTCAGCGAGGGAGTCCCGCGCCCCCCACGGGACCCTCCGGTGGACGGGGTGGAGGCTGCCACCCCTGCCCCCCCTCATCCCCCTGATCCTCATCCCGGTCATCTCTGCCGCAGCCACACTGAGCCGTGAGTCGCGGGGTTCCACGTCATGCGATGGTGGCGATGATGGTGATGGTGGTGATGGTTGTGATGGTGGTGATGATGATAGCGATGGTGGTGATGATGATAGCGATGGTGGTGATAATCGTGATGGTGACGATGGTGGTGATGTTGCATCATATGTTCATACTACATAGAGTAACTACTTTAAACGGTGCTGTTTGTTACTGACCGCGTGGCATGCAACAATGTACGTAGAACTCATGCTGCTTACAGGGGATTGGTGCTCAGCTCAGGCCTGAAGCGCCACGCGGCTCGCGGGACGTGTCCCTCGATCAGAGTTAACGCGTGTGTGGAATCGAGCGAGTTTATTATTATTATACGAACTTGGGGAAAGAGATGGCGATGCGAGGAGGGAATTGCAGAGCGGAGGAGGAGTGGGAAGGTAGATGCAGAACGAGAAGGGAGGTGATCTGCAGTGTGGCGAGTGGGGCGGCTGAATGGGTGCGACGTGCAAGCATCGCCGCTGGGGAGACAAAGGCGGCCGGGCGTCGTTTTGGCCACCTACCCGCTCGTGTGACGTACCGGCCTTCATAGGTGCTCGCTAACAGCACTTGCCCCAAAAGTCTGTTACGGCTATATGGGGGATCTTTGTTGCTTGTTTGTTGTGACCTGCAGTGTGGGAGTTGGGTGTGTGGGTGACTGAGTGAGTTGTGTGAGTGGGTGGGTGAGTGAGTTGTGTGAGTGGGTGGCTGAGTGGGTGGGTGAGTGAGTTGGGTGAGTGAGTTGTGTGAGTGGGTGGCTGAGTGTGTGGGCGAGTGAGTTGTGTGACACTGCAGTGTGGTGGTGCTGGTGGTGGATGAGCCGAGACGGTCACTGTCTGGTAGAGACGGAGTCCTCCACATGGCTGGAGGAATCGAGGAGTAAAGTCCACCATCTCTCTCTCTCATGTGGCACGTGCAGAGCAGCTAACAGATGCTTAACAATTGCTCGACGTGCAACTGGTCGCCACGTGCAACTGGTCGCCACGTGCAACTTGTTGCTTGCATTTTCTTTTGCGCAAGAAGGCAGAGGGCGGTAAATCTGGAGAGTTGATCCTACAGATTCCAACTCCCCTTCCCAACCACGATACGGGCTCCGGGAAGGAGACTCCTTCCTTACACGGGGTCTCAGAGACCCCCCCCATCACCCCCCCCCCCCCCTCCTTTTAAATTCCCGTATTCTTCGGATTGTAAGACGCTCCAGAAAGTAAGACGCACCCCATACTTGTGTCCTGCGTCAATAGAGTTACCCAGATTTGGTCTCTATATCTCTCACACACACACACACTGCCAACTATCGGAGTAAAACCTTTCCTTTAACACACGGCAGGAACACGTGCGTCTTATATATGATAGTTACATCACTTCGTCACGCCACGTGTTTCGAGGCCTCTCCATACTGTGTACGGTTATTAGGGGTTGTTTGACCATACTTCACCACGCTGGTCAGTACGGGTCGGTGAAGGCAAAGTGGGGTTGGGTCGTGACCAGCTCAGAGAGAGCACTCGCCACTCTGCGTGAGCCCTGGCCTCGTGTCGAACTGAGTTGGCCTGCGCTTCTTAGATCACAGTCGCCTAACTACTGCAACAACAGCCGCCATTCGCCACTAAGTGGCGGTGACGTCACCACGGCGCTTGTGCCAGGCTAGGTGCACGTTGAGACCACGTGAAGTGTCGAACGCCCGCCGGCAGGAGGTCACAGGGCAGACCCAGGTGCCACAGGTCGACTGAGATGACTGGCTGATGCACCACCTGTGCCCCCTACTGTGCCAACTTGCTGTGCCTTAGCCATCCGGCGCTCCGCCCGTTGTTGTGAGCGTCGCTCCTCCGCCCCCCGTTTGTTGTTGGAGGGCGAATGCCTCCAACTGCCCAGTAGCAGCGTCCTCACTACTGCACCACCACCACCACCACCCCCACCACCACGGCCACCACCACCACCACGAAAACCACCACCACCCCCACCACCACCCCCACCACAGTGTGGGTCTCATCAGCGCGTGTTTGGCTCTGGCTGCCACTTGGAGCCGTCTCATGGCTCGAGTTGGTTTCCATTGACTCGGCCTCACGTCACCCCCCCCCCCCCCCCCGTTCTGTGTAGCCTACACCGGCTGTTGGGGCAAGTGCTGTTAGCGAGCACCTATTAAGGTCGTTTCGGGCAGTGGCCCTTCTACACAGCACATAGACAGGTCAGACTCTGCGCTGCCAAGAATGGCCATTGCATTTTATAATGATCATGTACTGTGACTCGTTTTCCTTTGAAGGGCACATTGTTGTTATTGGCGAATGTGTTGCTGCTGTTGTTGTTGTTGATTGCGTACCGCTGCCAACGCAACAGCATCACAGAAATCGTCACAGGGTTCTAGGGCGCCGCATAGACCTTGACACTGCGATGTGAGCCGTGCCTGGGAGTCGAACCTCTGCCCCACCGCTCCCCCAAACAACAGAATCACATTCTCACACACACTCTCACACTCTCTCACACTCTCTCACACACTCTCACACACACACTCTCACACACTCTCACACACACACTCACACACTCTCACACTCACACACTCTCACACACTCCCACACACAGTCACACACACTTTCACACACTCACACACTCATACACTCTCACACTCATACACACTCTCACACACTCTCACACTCTCACACACTCTCACACACACACTCTCACACACTCTCACACACACACTCACACACTCTCACACTCACACACTCTCACACACTCCCATACACACTGTCACACACACTTTCACACACTCACACACTCATACACTCTCACACTCATACACACTCATACACACTCTCACACACTCTCACACTCTCACACACTCTCACACTCTCACACACTCTCACACTCTCACACTCACACACACACTATCACACACATACTGTCACACACACTCTCACACACACTCTCACACACTTTCACACACACTTTCACACACACTTTCACACACACTTTCACACACACTTTCACAATTTCACACACACTCACACACACTCTCACACACTCTCACACACACACTCACACACTTTCACACACTCTCTCTCACGCTCTCACACAAAGTAAACTTTTTTTCAGATAGTTAGCTCATTTTGGTATTCTCCCAAGTCGCATATCCCAGGTCGCTATCATCAGGCAGGGGAAGGAGGTCTCGACTTGCCGGCACGCTCTGCACGAGTTTCACAGAAGGGGACGACGCTCCTCTGTGGTCTTTATACCCCACTTGGTAATTTCCTGTCTATTTGTCTGTGCATACAGCGGGCCCATCTCTTTTATTCCCGAAGAACGTCCCTGTAACGACGTCCACGGCCTTAACAACACGACGTAACAACACGACGTAACGTCCACGACGTTAACAACACGATGTAACAACACGACGTATAGCCCACGGCGCTAACAACACGACGTAACAACACGACGTAACGTCCACAACGTTAACAACACGACGTAACAACACGACGTAACGTCCAGGGCGTTAACAACACGACGTAATGTCCACGGCGTTAACCAGGAGGAGCCGCGAGGATTCGAACCGCAGAAACCTCCGCCACCAAGTGGCCCAGTCAGTCCGAGCGAGACGATTTCCATGCCTCGCCTTTAAATATTAACAGCGCGCCGCGTGCCGAGCAGCAGCCAGCCGCAACCATTCCGACACTCAACACCGACGCAGACCCCCCCCACCCCCATCTCTCTCCCCCCCCCGCAACTGGCACGATTTGTAAGCAGCTGCTCCGGTTCACACGCTGGCATCCCCAGCCAAGACCCCCCCCCCCACCCCGTGCCAGTCCACTGCTGGATGAGGTCATCCTCTCGCCTACGCCGTGTCGATCGATCGCGTTGGACGATTTGGTGGTTTGACCATACTTCACCACGCTGGTGCAGTGCGGGTTGGTGAAGCGTGGTGGGGAGGGGACGGCACTGCCGGGGTTGTGTTTGTGTGGTGTCGCTCGCCACTGATGTTCGCTGTGACATAGAATCGAACTAGGGTCACGGGATCACCGCTGAAGCACCGCTACCAAGGGGTTGTAGTGATATAAAATACCCGGAATATGTAAACTGGAGGAATCCGATGAGCTGTAAAGCTCTATTTCACAGATCTCCAGTGTAAACCATGCCAGCCCCTGTGTCAATCCACTGCAGGGTGAAGGCCGCCTCCCCACGCAGTGCGATCACGTGGTCTGACCATACTTCACCATTCTAGTCATCAAGGTGGGGTTGTGGTTTTGTTATCATGATGCACTGCCCTGTGCTGCCCGCCACGTGACCTCGCAGCCTGTGGCACCTGTGATGCCCACGTGGACACAGTCCCAGCTCACGGGCACGGCTCTCCACGCTCCTCCCACGCGGAGCGCTGCCGCGTTGATTGGTCAAACGTCGCCATGCAACAGGAGCTGCGTTTCATCTCAACCTTTGGAATTATTTTATTTTAGCCACGACACATCCATCTCGCCTTATTTTGTTCTCATACACACACACACACTGTATACACCTGTTCATATAGGATTATGGGGCACAATAACACAGGATAATTGTGGATAAGCGTGCATGTTGTACTCTAGTGGTAGTGCCTTACGCCAATAATGCCGACTCCCAAGTCAGCCAAAGAGCAGCGTTCCGGGAGAATATCGTGAGAGAACTCAAGTCCTGAGCAGGACCCTCCTGAAAGAGAGTCCGAGACGCAATGAGACCTTCGTGGGTAAGCAGTGGAGGGCATTGTAACTGATTATTGTTGTTGTTATTACTACTTCTGTGTTGTTATTACTGTTGATGTCACTACTATTGTTGATGTAATGTATTGGGGGTAGAGGTGGGGTCGAGATGAGATTCCTAGACTGGATGAGGCGGATCCACGCGCTCTGTAATAAATCACGGGGCGCTCATTAAAATAGTGGAGACGTAGGGAGTCAAGGAGTTGAGGGGGAGAGAGCGAGGAGAGAGTGAGGGGAGAGCGAGGGGAGAGCGAGGCTGCTGGCT